CAAGTCTTAAAGCTGTCAAGTTTGAACATCCCTGGGGGGGTGTTTCCTTAAGGGTTAGGGGTGCAAGGGTCTTGCAACTTGACAGCTTTAAGACTTGCGTGCTTCAAATGCAGAGTTTCTGAGCCAACATTTTGGTTGCTAAGCAAGAGTGCTGTTAAGTGAGTTTCACATTTTACAAGTTGGCCACGCCCACCCAGTCACATGGCTGGCAAGCCACTCCCCACAAAGCAGGCCACACCTACAGAAGAGGTTCTACAAAAATTGGAAACCCACCACTGATCTCTTTGTAATGTCCTCACCCTCCAAGCTGAATTATTTTGGACTGCACCTGTAAAATGAGTGGGAATTCTAAGTCTTAGATGCTTCACTCTCTTCGGCCTGGTGCCATCCCTTCTGGAAATGTTTGAACATAGTTCCCATTATCCCCAGCCTACATGTCTGCAATATATTTTCGGGAGGCAGGGCAAGGGGAAGTCAATATAAACAATCAAGAGATAGAAGGAGGTTGTCAGCTCTCTCCAGCAATTCAAGAGAGCCAGTTTGTTCTAGTGGTGAAGGCACTGGACTAGAAACCAGGAGACAGTGAGTTCTAATCTCACCTTAAGTTCTAAGCCCGCCTTAGGCATGAAAGCTGGCTGATGATTTTGGGCTAATCATCAGGAGATGGTGAGTTCTAATCCCACCTTACACACAAAAGCTGGCTGGGTGACTTTGGACCAATCACCAGGAGACCCTGAGTTCTAATTCCACCTTAAGTGTGAAAACCAGCTGATGATTTGGGCCAATCACCAGGAGATGGTGGGTTCCCCACCTCGCAATACTGGGACCCGTACTCTTCACATCTTTAAGGAACTTTAAGCATTCGCTTCTATTAGAGCTGTGGTGGCACAGTGGTTAGAATGCAGTAATGCAGGCTAACTCTGCCCACTGCCAGCAGTTTGATTCTCACCGGCTCAAGGTTGACTCAGCCTTACATCCTTCCTAGGTTGCTAAAATGAAGACCCGGATTGTTGGGGGCAACTGGCTGACTCTGTAAACGGCTTAGAGAAGCTGCAAAGCACTGTGAGATGGTATATAAGTCTAAGTGCTATGGCTATTTTACAAATATCTCCCTTTATTGCTATTGATGTTGTAGGAACTTGGTTCTTCCTCCCTGGGATAAAAACAGGGGATTTCTTTCGGTTGGGTGAAGACTATGAAGTCTTGCTTGGGTTGAGGTCCACTTACTTGGAGATCAAGAGCTGCTGAGCTTCTTCTTCTCGGAAGAGGAAGTTGTGCATTTCTTCGCAGTAATTGACACGGGTGATGGGCTTGCCCCTCGCCCCTCGCTGGAAGTCCATCGAGAGGGAGGCGGCCTTGTACTTAGCCAGCAGTTCCACGTCCTTGTTCACGCGAGCCACGCTGGGCACCACTATGCGGTTCCCACTGTGCCAGCGCCCACTGGGCACAAAGCAGCTGGAGGACTCGGTGGCCGGATCCACCCGCCATGATGCTTCCTTCTGACCCACCCGGGCGTGAAGCTTTTGAACCAAGACAGGCCGGCTGCCAAAATCAAAGACCAGCCACTGCTCGTAGACCCCGAAGGTGTGACTCTGCAAGCGGACTTTCACCTCAATGGCTGGTGGAGACGCCCGCACGGTTTTGAAGCTGTCTCCAGAAGCGTAAGTGAGAAGCTCAGCCCTTCCTGGCACAGCTAAGGAGAAGTTGGCTCCTGGGATTTTCTTTAATAGGGCTACGTGGATCAGCGGCATCTGAAATGGGAAAGGGGGAAATGCAGGTAAATGAGAACAAGGGGAAATGGATCCTCGGTGTCAGAGGTCAACTTGAAAATGGAAATGGAAGAACGGTTAGATAAACTTTTTACTCAGCTCTGGGAAGGAATAGGAGGTGAGAAAGAAACTCAAGATAACCCCACCTTGTTTCCCCTTGGTATAAGAGGGGGTGAAGGGAAACTGCAGAGGTTTGAGGGAGGAGGAAAGAATGGCACACAGGGTCTCCTGCTTGAGCAGGTGTTTGGACTAGAAGACCTCCAAGGTTTCTTCCAAATCTCCAAAGGTAGGTGGGTTTTCCTGCTGTCTTTTCCTCCCTCCCCTCTCTCATTCCTTTCCATCTCTTTCCTTCCTTCCTTCCTCCCTCCCCTCTTATTCCTTCTTTCCATCTTCTCCCTTCATCCCTCTTTTCTTCTTTCCATCTTCCATTCGTCCTCTCTCCATCCCGCCCCCTGTTCCTTCTATCCATCCCTTTCTTTCCATCCTCCATTTCTTCTGCTGTCCCATTCTTTCTTTCCATCTCTTTCCTTTCTCCCTTCCACCCTCTCTCCCTCCCTCAATGCTAGTTTGTGACTAACCACTGTGCACACCCAGCCAACCACTGTGCATTCAGCAAATCATGGATTTACAATACAATACAATAGCAGAGTTGGAAAGGACCTTGGAGGTCTTCTAGTCCAACCCCATGCCTAGGCAGGAAACCCCTAT